TTCAAGACCTCTAGTGAAGCTTGTTTATAATTATTAAACACGATTAACTGCTGAAAAATTCTCATTATAAAATTCAGGCTTACATGTCGCACTGGAATTATTACTGAAAAAACCCATAGATATACATTCCTACCCGTCCAAAATGCGAGAGTTAAGCTACGAAACATCAAATTCGTTGTTTCAGCCAAGTTAAAATCAACCATTGACATAGGTATTAGCCAATATATATTTAAGGGCACTCCTGTGGTTTATGAAGAAAACCAATAGTAAATTCGGCCGTACTTCATGACTACTTCTAGGTGTACACTACGTAGTTCATCTTGCCTAATTTGCAGGCAGAGGGAACCAAATCAACGGATTTAAGGGAAACCGTCCGTGGTTGTACGATACGGCTGAAGATACTATGGAGCGGCAGTTGTCACCAGCTGTGTTACAAAAAATCAGTCGAGGCCATGAAGTAGCGAGAGTTACAAAGAACTGATTTTTGGGACCCTATGTGAGCAATTCAATTAAGATAATAATAACAGATTTTAAACTAGAGGTGTTTTAGGCGATTTGCAACTTGCATGGGGCCAGGCAGGTGCTAGGGCCTTTTTCTCTAGAATTTTAGGTGCCTATATTGATATAAATTGCTGCCAAGCCTTATAATGCAGCTCCTCAAAGCCACTTTGGGCCTCCGTGGATCGATTTGGAATTGATTTATTTTAAAGTAGTGATTAAAAATGTTGCCCTTGAAATAATGTTTTTTTAGTGCCTTGGCAATCGCTTTTCAAATAAATCCGAGACTAGAGAAATGTCATAAAATGTGTTTGTTGAAGAAATCGGCTGTCTGCAATCGCAGCATTTAAAAAACTAAGAACTAGGGAATCTCTCTGGCTGTAACAGTCATGGAGATAGCGTGAAATTTTGCCCTTAATTTGATTGGCCAATTTTTCGACTGCAAAGGGTTCTTGAGATTTTACTGAGCAATGTGTGTTTTAAATTTGAATTCTCTACCCTAGTAGCTCAACTACCACAAATTTATCTATTTGCTTTAATATTTTGATCTCATCTAATTGACAAATTTAAATATTATACTATTTTATTCTGTGGTTCAGGCAAGTATTATTTCCATTGTGTTGTAATGTTTATCTGTATCGTAAAATTTTTTTGCAAAGGGAATCAGATTTTGTCTGTTGTTCTATGGTGATTACCTAACCGTAAATGTCGAACGTTTTGTCAAGTAAATTTTTTACTTTGATCTTCTTCTGCATGCCTTGGTCAAGTCAGACTCTACCAAAAGGTCAAATTATTTTGCATTCCACAATGAATTGTTTTTACCGAAACTGTTTTTGCGGCCTAAAACAAGACCTTGATTACTTTTTGACCCGAGTGATCTTTTCATCTATATTATGGAAATTTGCAGGTTGGCTTTACAAAGGAATTAAAGGATCACAACTATTAAATATATGGTCAATCGATTATGTCCCTTCTTGATATTCCAATATATATATAGGTTAGAGAATAAGCTTACTTCACTAAAATTATCCTAATCATCAGTAGAGTTGGAGAAAATGCATGATTAATTTAATTTAAGATAAGACTGACCCAACTAATTCCTGTAACGACTACTGTAAGAGGGATATTTGTGATTTTGCAGAAATATTGGCTTCTAAAACAATAATATTTTTAGAAAAACTGAATTTTAAATTGGAAAAGATCTTTGCTAACTGGCTAAGTGGATATTATTGTGATGAGGACGATGTTCCAATACAAATGATGTCTTTGAAGAATCCATCAAATCCACTTGGCATTTCTGCTTTCGTTCAGCTCCGCTAGCAAACTTTTCTTCGTATTTCACTAGTGTCTATACTTGATTACTAAAGCAACTTCCGCAGTCCAATCATCTTTTCAAAAAAAAGTGTGAAGCAGAGCAAAATGGTGCCTTTTTTAAGTACAGCATCCAGATTGACAATTTAGCCTTTCCCGCAGCCAACTTCTACAGCAAAATTAAGATATTTACCAAAGTTAATTTGCACGAGAGATATATTCTGGTGAGTAAACCTGCGCATTTCGCTCCCACAGTTAAGCAGGTTATCGATAATATCAATTTGTAAAATCAAATGAATTGCCTGTCCATTCTGCATGTCTCCCATTAGATGTACAAGCTCGCAAAAAGTCCACTTATGATTGACACTGTATGCTGGGTGTCTAGAAATTTGCTTCTCTGAATATGGAATATTGAGGTTTTTATAAACCCTGATACCATCTTTACTTTGAAATATAGATAGTTTAGCGACACTACAGATCACACAAAGTTGACAATTCTGCAGTATTGTCTTAATATACAGACACGGAGACATACCGTTTGTAGAAATCTAGCTGGTCTACACGCTAATGAGTGTGCTAAACTTTTACACAATTGCTTTTCCTTAATTCTAGGAAGAAAATATTAATACAGTTTTGTAACAATGACTTCAACTACGCAACCATTAAAGTTAACTAGAAGCTACAAATACAAAAGAATGAAATCACCAGTTAAAAGGCAATAGTTTGGTACAATTGTGGTGTAAGTATTCCACAAGCCCTCCTTGTATGCTAATCGAAAGATAATAACACTGGATTTACGATCTTGCCCATTGTGGTTGCATGCTGACTTTTTATGACAAGATTTGGAATGGAATAAAAGCCGTACCACATAACTACGATTTGATCCGTTTAAACGAAATTGTGGTAGTCCACTAATATTATCAGGTGTAAGTTGCACAAAATGAAGTTACTGATTGTCCTATTTTTGCTTAAAACGCTTCTGTGTTAATTTAGTTGTGTTTTAGGTTTCCGTAATTTTATTAGTTAAGGTCTGTTGCTGTTAATGTATTTGTCCAAGATGTGGCTCTCTTGAATTTTTTTTATTGTAATATTAGCTTTTTTGGCATGAAAGGTTCAAAGTAAATATTTCATGGTAGTCATCCTAGCGAATGACAGGACGTTTAAAACTATTGACGACCTGCAAAAAGCACGAATACGTGATAACATGGAGATACATAAAGTATGCATATTCTTTATCATTTAATATACAATTTTCAAAAAATGGTCTCTAAATACTAAAAAACAGCAATAATTATCTGAATAAGTTGACACCAAGGGAACTTGTGGCACCAGGAGATGTTGTAAGATGTAAGCATGACAATTCGCGGAGAAATCTGCAGGGAAGAAAAAAAACTGCATTAAGTAGGAGAATTACTTGAGCCATTTTGCTTCTGGTATATTCGGCTACCGTTTTATTTGCGCATCATGCATTCCGTTAAATGTTTGAAATTTCTACCTTTGGTTACTTTAAATTTACTCAATCTGCGAAGTAGAATGCGTGTTAGTTAAAACCACTATAATGTACTCCTTCGTAGATAGTCAACTTCCCAATCATGATTTTGCAGAAAGAGATGTATTTGAAGCATGGTTGCTGAGAAATTGATGAACATAAAATAAAAAACAAATGCAGTGTCATAAGGTGTCAAGTCTACCTCTGAATTCCAAAATGTTGAACGCCACTGCTGTTATCCTAGATTACTATGAGGCTGGAAAATTAACCCAGATATGTTTTCTAGAGTCTGCAACGATTATATCAATTGCTGCTGTATTGTCCACCCTTGTTGAGCATTCGCATTTCAACAAGTAACTACCTTAATCTGAATTTCATAATCTCCAATTAGATTGTAAGTTGACGGTTCAACGCAGCATGGAATATGTATTGCAAAAGAATTTTGAATATTTCACTTTTTGTGATAGGGGAAAAATGCGTCACAAGCACGTAAAACTAATTGTCGACATTTACGGCACGCTTAGGACGCTATCCATACCTCCTACTGCAGTCAGCCAACGTTGTCGGTGATTCAATCATTTACTAAAAACGCTGTTACGGTTTCTAACAAAATTACTGCGAACGGCGCAAATTATACGAGCAATTTAGAAGTATTGCACAATGCAATTTGTCACCATAAACAGCTGCAAGAAGCTCACCAATTTAAATTCATAAGTACTGGAATTTCTTTGCAGGTATGCTAAGCAAACTTTGGTCAGGAACGATGTGTTTTAATGTCATCAAAGGGGCATGACAGAGCTTACAAAGGCACACTAGAATTGAAGCCTTATCGAAGAAAATTCATGCTGTCAAGCCTGCCATATTCTGACCTCATTATAAGCATCAACATGCATCAACATTGACTTAAGATTTTACCAACTGAACAAGTCAAACTGGTCCATAAACGGAAATAGACGAGCAAAACAGGTTTTTAAACTGATTGCTCAACCATGAAACAACAGGATTAACATAAATTTGTGCGACTAATTAGAAACTACACAAGAAGCAAGAAAGGCAATGCAACGCCATCCATGCTGTTGAAGGCAGCAACTTCTAACTGCATTGTCATTCCCAGAAATGCAGGTGTAATATTTGTTCCTGAACAAGTATTCACAAAAGAAAAAAAACCGAAACACCAGAAAGAAAACATTACTTTGTTTTATAGTATGCTTTCGTCAGCAAATGCTCCTAGGTAAATGAATAAGGATGCAAACAAGCGTTGCTTTTGGTCAAGAACGCAGAATGCCTGCATTACGGATATGTTAAGGCAAATGAATCTTTTGTGGCGCATGAAACTTTGTTTGGGTCAACATCGCCGTAAATGAAAAAGTATGTTTTCCCAAAAAGATGTCCACCTCGGAAGTTTTTTCCAAGTTCAAAATTCTACATGAGTTAGGCTGTGCATGTTATTGCATAGACTTTCGGGTTGTCTTCATTTGCGAAATAGATTAATCAAAAATTTTGTGGTTTTGTTCAGGTTTTAAGTTGATTATCATGGAATAAAATATTTTCAAGTTTTTAAAGTAAATTATTTGCGTTATTTTGCACCTCGTGTTTTAATTGAAGTGCTTTTAATCCACACGATCTCGATGGTGTCCAGGTAATTACAAATACCGTGCTGGTTAAAGCTAGTTTAATCAATGCTTTCCGTTTTCCAAACTCACTATTCTTCAAGAGAGGAGGATATAGCGCTTCCTTCTGATGGCTGAGTTCCACCTGGCTGGGGTGACTCCTTGATTTTGTCGTGGTCCGACACATCCCCATTTGTAACCCATGGATGCTGAAGACCCTCAAGTGCGGTTAGTCGTTTCATGGGATCCCAACGTATGCATCGAGCAATAAAGTCTGTGAGCATGGGGTCACAGCCATCATCACCGAGGGAACTCTTTAAAAGTACTTCCAGGCTTAGAGCTCCGGGATCAGCCCGACACATTCGTCTAGGACGGTTGTTGCCGTTAATCTTGAAAGAATTTAAGAAAATTCATGTAAAAATCTGAACGGCTCTAATTAATTAACTGGACCATCGGAGTAGTTAATTGGCACGTTCCTCGATCGTTCTTCACGTGCTAGTCAGTTAATCGGATTGGGCAAAGGGACTCCCAAGGCATTACCTTTGGCTTTCCCTCTTTTATCCACTTTTGTTCATCTGGCTAAGCATTTCCTTTGTGGTACCAATTGAACACCAAAACAAAAAAAAATTACTCCCGACTTCAAATAAGAAAATAAGACTTCCGACTAAAACAGGTGACCCAACGCTTAAAATTGACTGGTTTAATTTCTTTCCTTGTTGCATGAAGTTATACATAAACAACACTTGGTGCCAATAACTTGCGTGAAATCGTAAAAACGTAATCATCAGAAGTATCTTTCCACTTCGTGCTTATGAAACAGGTCGTACAGAGGTACGTCTAGAAAGCAAAAATCCTAAAATTCTTGGAATGGGTACTTGAATTAAAACCACCACCCTGAAGGTAAAATATCTTCCATCAGTTATTCATCACTTGGCGTTCGCCGAATACACTAAAGCCTGCAAATTTTGTGTTTAAACGCTGGCATCCATAAGATAATAAATATTGCAAACGATTCCACAGTGTGCCAGTTAAATGAGAATCGCTACCAGAGAATTTTTGGTATGCAAGGAATCTTGCCCAAAAATGATCTTTGTGCAGAAGGAAAGTAAACTGCATTTGGCACTAAGAATAGCCATGCGGTTTACAGGAACATTAAAAAACCCAGAACCTATTGTCAGCTTGCATTATCTCAGCTATTTAGGCACGTTTTCAGGAATGCATTCGCCTAGAGTCAATAAATTTCAGCGATAAACACAGAAAAGTTTGCAGTAATTGTAAATGCTGTCCAAAAATAAGTGTAGACACGATATTTGAAACTATTTAAAAATATTTTAGATGCAAAAACTGCCAATTATTTATTATTTATTGCATTGCAGAACATAAATAGCCATATGGAAGAACATTTTTGGGCTCTAAAGCGCAAACATACTCTAGCTCCACTAAAGTGGTTATCGGATTACGACTGGGAACAACTAGTAAATTTTTTTGATAAAAGTGGGTCCATAACAAATATCATGAGTTATTTTGGAAGTATTAGAACTAGTATTGGGAGGACTGCACAAGTGAGAACTAATTTACAACACGTTCGCTCAGAGAACCATCAATCAATTCAATCAAACCGAATCATTTGTACTACTTTAGCTAACATACTTTCAGCACTGGCATTTCTGAGCAAACTAGGCAGTGCATCCCTCGCTAATCACTTGCTTCAACATGGAGCAACTCCCATATTGTTAGTTGGTGAATATTAGGCAAAATCCGAATAAAATCATTGGAAAATTTCTCTTTAGCAGGGACATCCAAAGACGTACTACTTAACAGATTTTCACATGCATGTAGTCATTCGTTTGAAGGATTTGAATGACGACTACATTTGGCAAGCAGCTTCGATAATGATACGTCAATGGACAAGATGCAACCAGAAATCCGCAGGACTACAAAGCCATGATGTCCTTCAATAATACTCAATCTAAAGGTAATGCGTACACTTTTAAGCTGAGATGCCTAACTAAATGCACCCACAACCTAGAAATTGCACGCGAAATGAATCCGCATTCTCATGAGGCAATTCAGAAAGGTGATGAAACCGTTTATTGAATTTTCATCTTTTTGAAGTTAGTATTGCAATAGCCTACCTGCAACATGTCACTGTTGGTAAAGAACGCGTTAATCGTAAAAAAAAATAAGTCGACTATTTGCAACCATCTGGCGTTATACGTGAGGTTGGGCTCGAGCTGTTTTGTTTTGCTGATCATTTTATTCTTAAAAACGCTACTGAGCATACATTTTGTGTTTCGACAAAAAGCATTGCAGATTAGTTTGTTGATCTAGATCGATTTGCTGTGGTAAATCTTTTAGGATACAAGCATTTCTATCTAAATCCATCATTGCGCATTACACAGGATGAAGTAACCACGAATTAACGTGTTCGGCCACCTTGTAAGCAACATCTTCCCGTCAAACCAATTTAGTAAGGCGGAAAAAACTAGCTTCGCAAAATTTGAAAACCGAATGTTGTTAATCAACTATCCTGGTACTGAGCTATTGAGATACTAATCAGGTTGGTAAGACAGACGAAATTCCGATCTCTAATTTTTTTTATAGTACTAGGGTAAATTCCGTTCCCGTGGTCACTTTGAACTGAAAAATATCTGTTTTAGAAGGCCACATTTTTTTGTAATCTTTGGAAATAAATGTTTTTTATGATAGTGTTTAATTTCTTATGACGACGGGATATTCACAAAACCACTTTAATGCTTGATAGCCGGCTAGCCAATGACATCCAACTAAACGTTTGACTACATAAATCCAAAATAAATACACAGATATTATGCTAACCAGGGCCAAAAACTTACTTTGAGATTGCTAATTCTGTTTCACACCACATAACGATGAATGTAGAGGCTTTGTAATGCATAAAATTCAGGCCAGATATCAAAAATATCATTTCGTAATGCACACTGCAGGTGTTGAACACTCGACTAGTTAAATAAAACGCCATCAATAAAGAGGAATTGTTTTTTTTCCAGGATTTTATCTGTGAATCACGCAAATAAAACAGTGGTACTGAAGTCTGTCGAAGTGCATGTCAGGCCGGGGATGAAACTAGGGCTTTTTCACCAAGACGGTGACTAGGACACGTTGCATATTTCTTCGCAGGGCTTCTGCAGCGAACCGTTGACAAAAACGTGCTTACTGACAAAACACTGCTTCATGTCATGCTGAAATCCCGACAAAACATTAACTTTGTGGGAGTTGTGGCATCAAATCGCAAAAACCACTCAACTCCTTGTAGTCACATGATACACGAAGTGCCTGAATTTTGCACAAAATCTGACTACGAAAACACCAATCAGTGATGTGCCCACTGTTTCTATACTGCTGAATTTATTATATAGTAACAGTCGTATAAGCATCTAATTGTGAAGGGCTAGCGTACCTCAAGGTGCGGCACTTGCCAACCCGTTGTTCGTGCGTAACTGCGATCCTAAAGCTCATCAGCAATTCAAACCAATTGGTGCATATCAGGGCCGCCTGAACAAAATTCTATTTTTTGCCATAACAGTATCGTATGCGGCAAGAGTAAGGAAATAACGAATGAGATCTATGCATGTGCGTTCAGCTGGATCCTGTATGGCACAAAGCACGACTACAACCTTTCACGTTGCTGGATTGTTCCTTTTTTCATGCAATATTCCCAAACGCTGGCTACTGACAATAAAATGTATTTGTATCGAGCAATGTCCATTACTTTTTCAATAATTAAAATGAAGAGGACGGTGAATATGTAAATCGCATTCCTGCTCGTAATCCCCATTGGGATTGACTAAAGTTGATTAATTTGGCATCCGAGATCAAAACAAACAAACGCAATTCTATTAAGTCCTATCTAAAACATTTTTAATAAAAATGAATATCGCACTTGCCCCAACCCGATATTTGGAGTCAGTAGGGTCTCTGACTATTTCAAGGGAGTGTCTTCTGTGCCACACATATCTAATGAAAATTATTATTATGTGAATAACATTCTTCAGGCAGTACATTTTAATAGTACATTCTGTAGATGGATTATGCACAAATTTAATTCATGTTTTGTGGTAATCCAAATTTTTAACAGATCAGCAACTTTAAACTCACATTTACAGAAGGAATTTTATTCAAAAATGAAGTCACACTCAATAAATCAAATGCATGTATAACTAGCAGTAATTGTCTCCAGAAGGTAAAGGCATTTCAGAATGTTAGTGCTAAAAAAAGTGACTTTCCAGGACAAAAATCCCGTGACTACAAACTAGACGAAGAAGACAAAAGCCATTAATAATCTATGTTCACGTACCGTACTAGGCAGCTAAGTCCCTTAACATGTTTCCCTCTCTAAGGGCGAAATTGAAGTGGGCTAATGATCCCTTAATGACATATTAAAAGGGCTAAATGTGTCTTTCTTAAACCAAAGACTTTTGTGACTTCGGATTTACTTTAAGATGTCGTCAATCATGCACAAATCACCCAACAGAGCACATTTATAAAGTGTGGCTTCAGTGTCTGCGGTTGTGATTTCTGTTGGTCGCGATAAAACTTTGCAGCTATGCTTAATCTTACCAGAGAACATTTTGCCTCCTGCAAAGTATTTTAACGCGGATAAACACGGTCTAGTAAATAAAAGCATACTCGCAGGGTTACTAAGCATGAAGGCCATTTGAAAGCCAAAACTTAGCAAAACCATCATTGTACAGTTAAAAACTTGAAAAAAACTTAAGCTAGAAGGATTTTGGTGCAAAAATTGGTTATCTAGCGGCATACCACTTTAATAGCAGATGTTTAGTACTCCAAACTGTCATACTTGCAGTTGTTTCAGTGTATTATTACTAACACCAATGTATAGTCATCTTCTAGTAATATTTGGCACATGACATATAATACATGGAAAGTTAAACTAAACCTGCCAGACATTATCGCCTGTTTTTTTAATTCATTTTTTATTGCTATTTAGGATTGATTTCCTGTACTGGTAAAAATATGTGATCAATGTAGTTACCTGAACAAAGTTAAAGCATATTCAAAGCATATTCAAAGTTAACCAAAAAAGAAAACCCTAATAGTCAATGCGTTTCCTCTGGCATGGCATGTCAAAAGTTACCAATGTTTTTTGAACCAAGAGGCCAAAACGTGGGAAAGACTAGGATTGACGCGTTTGAAAGCTTTCGCAGTTATCGCATACATTCTTCGAATTGTGCAGGTAAAACCACCAAGAAGTTAAAATAGCTGCATGTTGCTTCATCATGAGGGTACTTTATTCGAATCCTCAGACTGGTATTGTATAACCCTTAGGATTTTACGAGGGCAAACAATATTACGCCAAGTTAGTACAAGATATTTGTGATAAGATCCCACTCATTATGTGCTCTTGAAGTACCTCGGATTCAATAACACATGATCAGGTGCCCACTTCTCACAAAAAAGTAGGATTTACAAAAGATTTTCTTAAAAAACCACATTGACTGGATGCTATAACATGTTCATAAAGCAACTTATTCCAATTTTTTGAGTTTCTAAAATACTTTTATCATGTAAATCATTATTGTGACGAGAACCAGGGTACATCTTCGCTCCGGTCACAGTGTGCAGGTAATCCTTTGTACATAGACACTCTCCTTGGAAACTAGAAATTAATTTTCGCGATATCTAACTCAAAAACCCAATTCGGTACTTAAGAGAGAGTCATTAGTTACAAAATATTGAACCATAACACAGCAGACATTTGACCAACTAAAAATTTTCCCAATCACTTACTTTGGTCTGGTGTTGCTCGGCTCTTTCTGCAAGGTACCGAGGTTCCCCACTATCCGTAAAGAAATGATGTAGTCTTCGTATTTTCCGCATAACACTTGAACATGGAAGACCAAGCACCTCCATAATGCAGGCTACTTGGTCCTGTTCATCTTCTCCAGGGAACAGTGGAGTGCCTAGAAAACACATTGCTATCGTTATCTGCACGCACTACTGGTAATGCGTTTTTCCGTGCCTTAAAGCAAAAAGCCATTGTTTGGATTCTCTGATAAGGAGCAAACCCTTTACAATTTTGCAACTGCTCTTCATTGCTTTTCCTCGATACTCTGAACTATTTACAAACAAAGGAGACTGTAAATTGACGCAAACATGTTCCCCTTTTTCGCTATTCAAGGCAAATTATAGTCAGATATCACACATTAGCAAAATTCAAGGGCGATTGTCTAGCAAACACCTACCTGTTAAAAGCTCTGCAGTTATACAGCCTAGGCTCCATATATCTATTGGGGTTCCGTATTTACTACCAAACATAACTTCCGGTGCTCTGTAAAATCTGGATTGTATGTAGGCATAGACATTTTGTCCAACAAAGCAGCTTGAGCCGAAATCAATTACCATCACTTTTGTATACCCGGGATGTTCCAAAAGTACATTTTCAGGCTTGAGATCGCAGTGAATAATTTGGTTCCTGAAAATGTAGTAATAAAAGCAGAAAATTTTCCAAAGGCTTTAACCTCTAAACTGACGTGACTATGAATTCTTAACAAACGTATCAGAGCTAAAAAATGTTAACAAACGAATCAACAAAAGAAAAATCTTTGTGTTTGGCTACATTGGCGTTATTGTACAAATCTCCAAACTTACTTGTGGAGAAATTGCAGACAATTAAGAATGCCGCGAACAAACTTCCGCACTAGTAGGGGTGCAAAGCCACGAAAATTGTTCCGATATATTAGTTGGTAGAGGTTTACACTTAACAAGTCGAAAATCATAAAGGTGTATTTATCAGTTGAAAAGTGGTCCCTCAAATGGAGAAAGTTGTAGTCATTGTTTTTGTCCTGTTGCATTAAAAATAATAGGACAGAAATTTCTTCTTCGGCAAGTTTCTTGAAGTTTGATATGTTCTTTATACATTTAACAGCACACAGCTTTCCAGTATGGCTGTCCATGGCCTTAAAAACTTGTCCAAAACTCCCCCTGCCAATTTCTTGAAGCATATGAAACTGGTTTTTGATGACGTCACCCTTCTGAATGTCTGTATTTTTCTCTAAATCGTCACTGGAGTACTTTTTGCGTGAATCAGACATTAAATTAGAGATATCAAGCTCCGAGTTCTGAAGTGAATCGTTTTTCATGTCTTTTCGCCGTTCAGTTTTCAATAATAAGTCGTCTGAAACATTTCGATTTAGATTTAAGCAATGTCGCTGTGTTAATTTTTTCGCATATGTAGGTTCGTGGTTCTGGGGAAGAATGTGGGAATTGGAAGAACTTTCTGATGCCATGCAATGTTGCTGGGCTCCATAACGGAGCCTATAAGAGCATTCATTGTTTCGATTCCTTGAATAAAAGTTGCGGATCTGGGTGCTGATATCGGGTGGTGAGACCGTTCGTCTTCGGGTTTTTAAACCCCCAAAATACTTTGAATCATAATTTGATGAACAGGAATAAGTGGTGTGGTTTGTTAAAAATGGGTTCGCATCAACAGAGCGGGAGTAACGCCTTGACGTTCGTAGAGCATTACGCCAGCTTGAACCAACCTGCTATCAAAATGTTAGTAGGAGCGTGAAACTAATAAACACACGTACCTTACTCCTGTAGCTTGATGGCAATCCATTAGAGTAAAATGAGGCAGATTGGCCTTTTGAATACAATCCAATACTTGCTGGGTTAGTGTGATTTGCACTGCTTAAAGAAATAGTAGAGGTTGATTTACCATGGTAATTGAGCTTGCTTGACGAATGGGAAGGACTGCAAAGGGTTTGTGTTTGTGATATTGTTGCTGAAGGAACAACGACATAGGCCATAATTAAGTATTCTTTATCAAAAAAACGTCAATTCGGCCTAGATTATATGAAACTTGTGAAAACAGTCGTAGTTCAACCATGAACAAACCCCGCGGGTATAAGATCTCGCAACCGGAGCCAATCATAGCAGTGCTTTAACATCTGTTCAAGGTCAACTAAAATTTTACTACACATAGTCACAAGTGGTTCGAGTTAACTAAATTGTGTTTCGCATACTAATAAATTAAAAATTAATTCTTATTTATTTATTCAATCGATTAAAATGAACACGGATAGGTTGCCTTAGTTTATTAACCAAAGTAAATTGGCTATTCGCATTTCCAAAAGCTTTCTAAAGTTTTTCGTTATTCAGATATCACCATACAAAAATCATTTAGAATGTTGCACTATATTTTCTTTAGATCACGAAAAACACGAGGTTCGAGGATATGGCTTTACTTTTATTTACCTTTATGCAATGTTAAAAAAAAAACAAATTAAAAACATTGCCTTGTCTAATTTTTAGGTGTTTAACCCACCAACGGAATAGACCGATTATTTATGACGTCATTAACATTGCACTTTTTGTGTTACGTGCTGAGCAACTCTAACATGGATCTTGCCTCTACATTCTGCACATACTTTGGCATATCATTGTAAAAAACCAAATCAAAGCATATGATTTCATTAAACAAAAACCTTCCATTAAAAGAGATGACCCGAGTATATTCCTGACTGGTAGAAATTGTGACTAGCAACGAATTTGGGATTAATTGCTTACTTGTTGTGTGTAAAGCAGAAACCTTCGTAATTTAAAACCGAAAACTTCTACGGGGACTATGTCCCAGAGGCATTTAAAAAATTCCAAAGTGCACTACTGGATCCCAAAATAGTGTGGCTGACTGACTCAGGAAATTCTCCAGAAATTGTATCTGCCACTAAGAAAAAAATTGAAATAAAAAAACCGCAAACGTCAATGGAAATGGCCGAGAACTGTTTCCTGTTTCATTCATCTTGCGTTTCAGCCACTCGCAATTTCACAGGTTCAACTAGACTGTACTGATCAGCAGCCCCCAGTAATCACCCAAATTTTGTGCTTAGTAGTGTGACATCAAAAGTTGTGCCTCCGTTATTCCAGTCTTCATAAAATTTCGTGCGTCAGTGTAAAGAAATCGAACCAAATTCAATTCTCGGTGTAGTTCAGGACTTCATTCAAAGTTCTAATATGATGTATTATTCAGTCAATTTTCAATAATTCCTGTTAACGTTGTAAATATTAGGCTATGGTAACTGAATTTAAAAGCATGATCTTCTCTATTAAAAGACTTCCTTCGATTCTGAGAAAAAGCACAATAGCTTTCATGAAGTTGACATATGTAGTTTTATTCAGGACCAGCTTCTACCTGCTGGGGACGCGCCGAAATTCTTCGAGGCAGGCAAATATGCATTCACAAAGTTCGTTTAACTCGATTACACGCTGCATTGTTGTTTAAATAAACAACTCCTCACTGTTTTACTCAATTCATCAATCTCGGATCGCCCAGATCTATATAAGTGAGCGCCTCTGCGCTTAATCCCATCTTGTACTCGAACCCTTGGTTCATGCAGAAATACCTTCCGCACAAGCTACAGCCTTCTCTTATTGGAAGAAGCCTTTGGCGTGCCAAAGAAGGGTCGCAATTGTTAGCTGCGTAATTTACATCCACCCCCGTCAGTTTACTAATGTATACAAGTTCTGATGGTCAATCACCAATGGACAAAATCGCCTCGAGATGCCTAAGACCCAAACGGTCTTGAAATTGCACTAAAAGACACATTGCTTGCCTTCCTACTCTTATTTGGAAAATTTATGGTTGCAGATAACAGATCTTGGCCCCGAGACCCACATTGAAGTCTCTGCTACAGAAAACATCGAAACTTTTATTTAAATAAGTCAGCCTTGTCATTCAACGCCATCCCGTTTTGCAGGAAACTAAGACACTCATGACAGCGAGGCGGTTAGACGTCACGGGCAAGAGCTTTATATTTCGGTTTGCATAACAGAACGCGGGTGGTTAGATGAGCTGTTTGGCCGACCCTTTAGAGATCGGACTGTAGTATAAACATATTTCGTGAAGTGCCCAGGGAACGTCACATCTTGCAGATACGTGGAATGATGCAAAATAGCGGCTAGCAAGCATGGCACCTATTCTTGCAGACTGAAACGACTGTGATCTCGCCCGGGGCAAACGTGCTAAAGAGCACTCGTGACAGAGAACTGTTCAGAGCCCCTAACGGGAGATGAGATTGTGATTTCTACGTTCAAACCTGGCTGTATTTCGAGAAAACTGCTGATAATTTGACACTGTCGTGCTTCCATAGGACCTGTTCCGAAAATGTAAACAGTGAAGTAGAAAAGAGCAAAAAACATCCTTATGTCAGACTGTACTGGTCAACTCCTCGTTTCAAAAGTGCTCCTATATTATTCAAGTTATCAATGAGAATACTCAGTGGGGCCCCAGGTACGCAACGCTGGTAGAGAATGCTATCGTCACCCGAAAGTCCAGCCTTTGCGGCGATACCGGCGATTTCTTGCGTAGTAAAGGACCTGCTTCCTCCTGGCAGAGAGGCCTCTCGCTAAAATGCGACAAATAAGCCCAATGAACTTATGCGCATACTAACGACGTAGCTTAGAGAGAAATGAGTAGTGTTTACATGCAAAGCAGCAAGTAATCGCTTTGTGGCTGCGGTGCCGGTGGCTGAAGCGTTCTTGCGTTTCTTCGTTGGCACGAAGCTTGCCGATGCGTCACCAGCGGCTCCACCTGATTGTGAGGTGCCGTAGCCAGTTTCATTCATCAGATCACAAACGTCACGAGCATCCTGCAATGAATTTGCAAAGTACATAAATGAAATAACGGTTGACACCATTGCAGACCAATCGTTTTTATGAGGAAATAGGGGGTAGGTGTGCAAGACGAGTGACTAACTTGCTCTGAAATCTCTTCGCGAAGTTCAGCTCGAGCCCTGGCTGATGCCAATCGAATAAGTGATTCTAATTGGCGTATTGTCACTTGAAATACGTCGCGCTGTTCCCCCCTGCATTTCCGTAATTTCAGATAAAACTCGCGAACAATAAGGGCCGCTTCTGGTGTCATTCTAAAAGTAACAGATGATACTAATTAAAGAGTGCTTAAAAATAATCCCATTACAAACTGGAATCCTTTGAGGTTTAGTTTTTTCAGAGCATAGATTATAAACAAATAAAAGTTGTCCAGCTGTGTATGCTCAGTGTACGGCTTAGTCAAGATCAAAACGGTAGTCCTTTTAAAATTGGGCTCTGATAGATCTAAAATCACTTGAGATGAGTTTCACTGAAACACAGGATCCACGATTCTGTGAAATATACATCACCTCGAATGTTCTTATTGTTTTGGCAAATTTTTCAAAAATTAAACTTCACAATGTCAAAAACTGTAGATTCTCTCAAGATTTTCATTCGCAAACTAGAAAGCAAGTCCAAAAGATAAGTGGTTATAAAAAACCTTGAAATCGGATTACGGGCTTCGGGACAAGTAGCCGTGGACGAAAACGATAAAACGTCTGACAAATTGCACGACATATACACAAGCAATAAGGCAAAAATTACGCCAATTAACGGCATATCTTCTACCTGAAGGGTAGACCAACCTTGGGTGAACGTAGGCTCGAGCGTATGCTATGTACTTTCGAAGGACGTAGGGCGACAGGGGTTGACGGCGGCCACTTCTAAACCGTAAACGGGCCTCAAGCGGCAGATCATCATGACTGGAATCCGCTTCGGACTCAGTTAAACTCTCTAGAGAGATCGACGGAGCTGAGGCGTCCGAAATATTGCCTTGTCTCGATCGTTTTGTGCGCTGGCCCATATGAAGAGCTAATACATGCTCTGATAATCGGTGGTCGAGGTTTTCAGACGGCCGATCAGGCAGAATGAAGATCAAGTCGAACCTAAGAAGAAAGGATACACGCAACATTCCAGAACTAGTAAATTGTACGAAGAGTTCTGCAGTTCAATTTAGCTACGGCACACCAAGGAAATTGCAACAATGACGGTGGCGTGTCAATGTGTCAAGAGCTTTTGACCACATTTGATTAAATTGTGAAAAATAGTAGATGATTTCCTGTCAATCTCTCAAGTGGTAACAACCGATGAGAGCCTTGGTTTAGCCTACGAATTGCTGGCTAGCATGTCACTGGACCATTCCAGGGACTCCACATACGCCAGATTGTCTGCCTTGAGGGGATTTCGTCACGTGTAATGCGAATTAAGAGGTGTTAGGGGAAGGAGGGCGACGCCAGTAGCAAATCAAAAGTGCCGAAATTCGGAAAATTTATTAAACTTATGATACTGGTCAGATGTCGACAAATAAAATTTTAACGCAAAGAGATGCAGACTCAGCCAAGTTTAGTTTGTGTAAATAAATTAGCGTAGTGCAATCAAGACAAGGCTTTTGCTTTTTATTTACGCCGAACCAAATTACAAAAAGCCTATTACCTTGAGATAAGCGACCGGGATACCCGAACGTTTTCGTAAATTGTCTTGGAAGAATCGTAGTGCCCAGAAACAGGATTAGCGGCAGCAAGAACCGAAGTGCAAGCGGCCAGATTGCAGACGTACCCACCACGAGCCACAGAAACGGTTTGTTGTTCAAGAACTTCGAGGAGCACGGCTGGATCACAGGAGATCTTGTCAAACTCGTCAATGCAACAAATACCCTACAGGCAAAGAAAATAAGATGTTGCAATTATACCGAGGCTTATTTCGGATGAGACGACATGATGATGCAAGGCGGAATGTTCATTTTCATAAGGCGAATAAAAAAAAACTTGATGATGCCCGATGCCCTGCATGCGGGGGTAAAAAGATATACCTGGTCGGCGAGAACAAGAGCACCCGCCTCGAGGCCGGCGCCTGAGTGATCTCGACTGGTGCTCACTGTGAGACCTGCAGCAGACGCCGTATTCCCACACACGTAGACGGCACGAGGCGCCACGTTCGCAGCTGCTCTTAACAGCTGACTTTTACCAATGCCTGGATCGCCTGAAACGCAGGCAAATGGGTCAGTAGCAATTTATTTTCAGGAAAATGCACAGTGTTGGTAATTAAACAATTACGAAGACCATGTTCAAAGCCTATCGAAACAATACACCACCGTAGAATGCATTTTAGCTCAAAATTTGTCGAATTGAATATTTTTCACATTGCCCTTCGTAGTCCTCCCCGAAACACACTCCTACTTTGTCCAAATAACAACTTTCTTTAATCAGCTAGAAACATTTTATATAGTTTATCACTTAAATTAATCACGTGTATTTATTCCCAGAACAATCCGTTTCTAAGAGTTGCAAAATGCAGCCTAGGTGATATAAAGTAGTCGAAAATAGAAACAACTAAATAGCACCTGGCAAAATTGCATCAATAACACCAACAAGCCGCTTACCCACCAACAGAACATGTGAGGAGCTGCGACGTACAGGTGAATCCACGTTGCCCACTGGAGCACCTGAAACCGCCTGTGTTGCTTCCATGGTTGAAGCATCCGCATGTTTACAATCTCCATCGTCCTCCGAGGAATCGGACAAGTCTGGAGACTTCTCACGAACCTTTTGCGAGGGTCGTGCTTGAACGCCCCAGGAGCTGGTGGATCCCCCAAAAAGGGCTAACAGGATGGCCATTTTGACAAGTTCTCGACCGCAAATTGTCGGACAAACGGAAGCAATAAGAAGATTGAATAGATTGGATTCCTCAGCTACCTCGCGAATCAAATAAAGATCACTTATTGAAAAGTTTGTATCTAAAATAGGAAAGAAGTTTACGTGAGGTCGGTTTAAGCAGTAGGCGCCAGCTAATGAAATTTTTGGGAGATGCCTTTTGCGTCCTTAACACCACATTAAAGGAGGCAACAGTATGGAACAAGCTAAAAGACAGTACCTGTAGTTTTGAGGTCAACTACTTCGCTCGAATTGTCAGCACCTGCCGTCTCATTGGAATGGAGATTCTGCAAGCGAGTGGTGAGACACTGAGTCACTTTGCCGCAGGTTCCACCATCTTCGCCAGAACGGCTAAAAATTCTCGTCAGACTGTTGACACGTAGACAGAGGTTAAAGACATTGTTTTTTTCGTTTGAGGCTTCTTGTGCGGAATTAAATGGAGGGCGAGAACCAGATGAGGAAAACGACGAAGTTTCAGTGGGAGCTGGCAAGAGATTGACGACACCACAAACATGTACAAAGTCCCCAGGCACACAGGAGTCAACAAGGTCACAATCGAGGAAACATGTAATGCTTCGCGGAATTCGGCCAGTATTTGGTAGCTGATCTTGGCTATTTTCGGCTTCGCCGGATTCTTGCAGAAGCATTGTCTAAACGGAAAGTTACGACTTCATTTTCACGACACAAAAACAGAACTAAGAACTTCCAACGACCTAATTGCCAATTGCTAAGACGCCAGTAAACGTGGACCACGCTTACGTTCTTAGAGTACCTTGATGGAAGCTAGAACTACAACTGTCTACTACTAACTGTCCAAAAACACCAAATACATAGACAACTGAATGGTCTTTCAGAAAAACTTAACAGAGCTGCAGCGAAACTGGAGTCAATAGGCGGTTCAAAAGGACCTTTACTTTACCTGTGTGTCGATTACGAGATTGGATTTTGAAGAGAATTGAGGATAGAAGACCTTCGAGCGACAACCCTTCTCGGGGCAGCTTTTGGGACTGGCAAAGCAACCATCTTCCTCAATTACCAGAACTTGCTCACCATCACAAAGTGCACATCGAAAAGTCAGTCTGCAGCACAACGGTCGTATCTGCAAGAACTAGCATATTTATGGCAGATACTTACTGGCCCAAGTCGAGCAACTGTTGCACGGATTGAAATTAAGTTACCGAGGTGATGAGCTCGTAAATCCCACATTGATGTTGATGGGTAATGGTCTGTGACTCGAGCGGCTATATACGGTAACTTTACCTCCATATTCCTATTAACTTGAATATAAATGAGCGTTAAAATGAGCAAAGAAGTTGAGATACAAAACTAGGAAATTCATACACGGATTTTCAGAATATCCATAAATCTTTTCAGTCGCGACCGTGTGAACGGCAAGCCCGAGTGACAATAGCAGTTGTTTGGCGTCGAACAATTGTTCAACGTCAGGTTCAGGCGGCCAGCCGGGTATACTTTTAGAAAGAATTGGTGATGATTTAAGTGAGCTGTAATCAATGTTGATGACGGGACGATCTTCTACCGCAGCCCAATTAACGTGGGAGGATGCAGGTGTCCCATTCTCTCTTCCAGAAAGACATTCCGTTTTGATGAAATCTATAAAGGCCTAAACGACTTAATTTTTATGAGTTAACGCTTACTTTTACGTACTTAACGACCTCAATATTAGGCTCATAAGTCGTTGCTGGAAAGTACAACAACCAACCAGGAAATGGGGAAGAGAGTGGACATTTTGCGAGTATAACCGGACCTGTGTTTACAGTAGGTGGTTTATTCGATTTTAAAGTTGAATGAGTTCTTGTCACCTCCTGAGCATTATTAGGTGTGGGGGCACTTTGGTTACGACAGCCTCGCCTTTTCCAAAAATACGCCTTCTTGTTTGAAGCATTTTGACCAAAGACCTACGGAAACCGATATTCAGAAAAATATTAATACATGAATACTCACAGAGGAGCTTTTTACTTTGTTTAGCAAAATTGCTATGAAGTGACAAGGAAAACAAAAGAGAAGTCAACGGCGGAAATTCAGCACGGCACCAATGTTAAAAGCACGTCATGGAAATAATGTTATTCTTTATTTTAGTTTGAATAAGGTCAAACGGTGACATTTGCGAAATATTATTACAGACCAGGGGGATAATGCTAAACAATAAGTATACCAATGACAGTATCAATGTATTCTGATGGAACGTAAGGCCTTTTATAGTGCAGGGATTGACTAAACACTAATAGTTTCTTCCGACCACTGTAGGTACACATTAAAAAAATCTGCAGAAAAATAAAATGACGCCTAAAACCGCCAAAGTGCCAACTACACTAACCATAGCGACCAAATGACAAGATGAATAACGCCAAAAGTTAAGTGTTCAGACGAATTGAAAGATCACACACGACTGGCGAGTTCAATGCCTGATCAATTTTAACAAATGCGTTTATTTGCAAAATTCACCAACGAAATTGATTTAAAAAGACTTTATTATAAATCTAAAATGATTCACTATATACATTTTGCATTTATCATGAGTAAATTTTTGCGACCACGAATATATAAAGACGTTTAACATACATAGTATTTTGAAATCTGCGAATACTTACATTATTTACCTATTGATCGAATGGTAAAGCCGTAATAAATCATGAACCTGAAATCACCCTAGGCTGTAACCTGGTCCATGTTAATCCACGCCCTTAATTCTCGACGCAAATAGTTTGCTTTACGAATACTTTTAAAGAAACTCGCTTCGACATTTGGTTTTCGCCAATCCAATGTTCCATAACAAACATCCAACTTTGGTTAGTGACGCCCTAATTTTATAACCTTAATGTCTGTTTACCGTCCTGTGGCCACGGCTCTGGAGTTATGTCAAAAGATTGATATTCCTAATTACACCTCTAAATATGCATTTTCATTTAGTTGTTTGCATATTTGGTCGTGCTGGCAGATTTGGTGACTTAAAAGTGATTACGGAATTGGAGAATTGTCCATTTGAAAAGCGCACTTTTACAGAGGATTACTTGCATCCTCTATGTCTAAAAATTTTCGTTTTGAGAGATCAGTATATATTAATTTTAGAATAATATTCAAGCAACATGGTAACCCAGATTTTATTAATCTCGTATTCTTACCCATTACTTACCTCGAGACCAATCGCTTAATGTGCAAATTCCCTTTCGACTTATATGCTAAAACTAAATAAACCTCTCTAATTAGTGTCTACGAGATGCATCGAACTCAATGGTTAAATGACCATACGCTGAATCTGGCAACTAAGTTTGGATTTTCACTTAAATCTATGCAAAAGTTAAGGCACTTTGTAGGAATTACAGTAGACTTTAACACAGACAAAACCTTAACCTGTCAAACATGGGTTGAAAATTGTCCTATCAATGAAGATTAAATGCTAAGTGTAATGTACAGGCAAAGAAAAAACTCGTTGTAATTTCCGAAAGAGATAACGGGCCTAAGTAACCAAGCATGTACAGCCTCTTAGGGTGGGGAATATGTGGGGATGACCAAGCCTTTCATCCAGTTATTGCTTAACTATTTTGTCAAAAATATAACCAGAGTCGGAAATTTTGCTCTTTATTTCTCTTATTTGTTAACACTACATCCATTTATTTTAATAGATTAGGAAACTAAAAGGAAGAATTAGAGTTCTTTGGCATTAGCCTCAAATAGTTCGACATAAGATTTCGGAAATCGTCCTGACTGACCATCGGCCGTTGTCCCCCAGAGCCATTTGTCATCAAATCTACAGATATTGGTAATCCTGTCGCCTGGTATGATGGTGATCTCGTCATCCATTGCTGAAATGAAAATTATTTGTATTCAAAACGGTTATCCCTACTTCATTGGCTCATTCGCCTTGAGTTGCATTATTCACTGATTTGTTTGTTAAGCGGCAGCCATGACACACAGCTATCGTGTTAAAGTCATGAGATGTTGGCGCATTGAATAATTTTGCAAAAGCCAGATAAACCAGGAACTCTTGAATAAGACCGTCATCTAAAAAATGCTTCACCGATTATGCATATTCTTGAGACAGCGTTCACCGACAAAGTAATTAAGCAACGAAGGATCGCTTGTGGCTTACAGGTAATGCATGTCAATCGTAATCAATGGAAACGGCCCAGATTGCTCAAGTAAGCTCAACCACAGCGTTAAGACAAAAACACTTCAGATATGGTGTGGAACTATGCGGTGTGCAAGTGCTTCATTAAAAACTAAGGTTTGAAATAAGAATGATACGGAGAACCCATCTAAGAAAATCCGTCTTAAGAACATCACAATGGTAATTAAAATTCATCCTCTTTGAATACAAACAGCACACACAATGGATTTCCCAATGTAAAACGCAAACCTTATGTGTGAATCTACACATGTGGAAACTTTTTATGGCCGTTACACGTAAGAAAGCTTCTAGGTATTCAATTGTACGCTACATGACGTTTGTTCTAGAACATGAAAAGAGGTTCCAGCAGAACATACCTTTTTCAAATCGGAAAAGGCAGATGCCATCAAAATCGTAACGCCCATTTACGTCGACATCAACATCTTCAGTCAATAAAGACACCGACATGGTCGCAACAGCGGGAGGCTTCACTTGCACGGAAGACTATTAAAAATATATAAACAAACTTTTAGAACAAGTAGGAGTTCTGAATTCCCAATTAACTGATCTACTCAAGCATTGTGGTTTTTACTACGTTAAACCATATTTTGAAAGTTTATACCACGTGTTTCTTTCGGACATTTAGTACTGATGTTCACGGAAGAGGAAATCGAAACATAACAAGAAATTGAAATCAAAACTCCCAAATGTTGCCATTTTGCACACAGCCGGCCATTCACGGCGTCTCCATCGCTCATGCCGACCCAGGCAAGATCAGACCATTAAGTTCACCTTTCTGACCCTAAATCGTTTGCCAGTTCATTCGAGCTCCATTGGTTGACAGTCTGATCTCTCTTGTCCCAGACTTTTTGTCTACAACACACTTTCAGGATGTGTAAACAACTTCATCGGATCACTGAAATCTGGCAGGTCTGTCGTGGCTGAAAACCCGTTCCACAAATGCGGCACATATCTGTGTTTCGGCTACCATCCAAGTAATGGCCCACAAAGCGCTAGCCATGCGCACCAGAGGTACGAGGAGATCCGTGAATGCATCACTCCTCACTAAGATTGAGTACACTGATTTTAGCTCTAACTTCACTCGCATTACTATTTGCAACGTGAAATTTATAGATTTCGAAAAGTATTCAGTTCTAGACTTTCCAGTTCTTCTGAAATAAGTGAAAGTTTTTGCTAGATTTAAATCTAACTCTTGACCACTGCAAAACTTACGGTAGACATCGAAACGCTGGATACCGCAACTTTTGATTTATTGGAAGAAGAATGAGATACCTGTCCGGGTATAAATTTATAAAAACTGAGGTTAATAGACAAATGATTGTATGTGAAATTCTGGAGCACTTTGTGAAAACTTATTAAAGGGTTAAAACTTGGTGGAAATTGAAATGTGAATGTCAAAATAGGCTACACCTAACAAACAAACATCCTTAAACATGGTTTAGTTGCCTTAGCTTGAAAAAAACAATTCCTCCGTTGAGAATTGCCTCGAAGAAGTTGCAGCACACACCAGTTAGAATAAGCACTACAAACTTGCGTCCCCGATATGCAACTTGGCTCAAAATACCACCTTTTAATCTCAGCTGCCTAACCACAAAATCCAACCCCACCTACAAACAAAAAAGCACTTTTCACAATGGGAGATCAAATTTCATTTTGCTTTACAAGGGAAGGAATCTTTCGCAATTGTACATTTGCTCTATTCTTATACTCATGAACCATAGATTCCTATTCATGTATGACAGTTTTTTTCGTAGTGTAATTTAATTTTTGAAAGTAAGCACCTTTTACGAATTGAAACGTCTCCACTTCTGAATGTTTCCCGTTACAGGTTGGTGGAAATAATGAAAATTAAGTTTCGGTGACCTGGTGATTTCTGAGTTTTCGGGGGGGGGGGGAATTTGCATTTTTTATTGCCAATGTAAAGAATAGTACCGTACTTTATCTTTAAAACTGGAAAATAACTACACCTCGAGAAGTCATTTTTTTAAAATTCGAAAAATCTCTCAATTGATTGCTGCTTCTTCATTTGTCTATTCATAAAAGGTGCTTCTTTATCCCATTACATTCTAAAACATACTGCACCTAAAATAAGCTGCAAGTCAACCTAAAACCTACAATAGCCTAACGTTTTCCACTATTAGTTTATACAGGAGGTGACCATCTAATACTCTCTTTCGAATCAACATCATACTTTATATTCGGACGGTTCCATTGACTTGTACGAACTAGCAAGATGACTCATCGTTTATTTAAGTAACTTTGATCACTGGTGGATACTGAGAGCCAGTAACGTGTTATTTGGTTGGCTGGGTAACTTATCAGCTTTTACTGAAGCACGTGCTGCACTATGGAACACCCTCTTTGGCATTCACTCACAAATACTTGGCACCACTGGGCTGGTGGAGAGCCTGAGTGTCACTACCAGCCCCTCAGTTAGGCTCTAAAAACGGTACAAGTCAGACCTGATGATAAATCCACTTTACGAGTGCATTGTTGGTGAGTAATACATGGCTAAATCTCATGCTGCGATTAACGAAAAAGATGCCGTCAAAATTGTGTATTTCAAGGAAGATGATATGTTGAACTGATCCCAAAATATACTACCTAGTTACAGGTTTAAACAAATTCATCAGAAATAGCTGTTTCCTTTTAGGCATTTGTAACCGGCAACTGATGTCCCAAGCCTTATTATTCAGTTAAGCCCGTCCTCAATACGTACGCTTAAAGTGATCTTATCAACAAGTCCAATCCATACACCTTTTCTAACTCAGGCATCAGATTTTACTTCATTTTTATCACCGAACGCTGGTAGGAGTTTAAATTTGTGCTATATGATTTGGTGGTTTGCAAAGCTATCATTGCTAGCGACCTGGTGCTCCAGCTTTCGCACCCTAAAGACGCAATTTGAAGGTCAATGCAAATGTTTCACAACTGTTGGTGCATTGAGTGTTGTGAATCGTGTTTATTCACACCCCTTAATCCCGTCGCTCCATCCTCCGACACAGTGTTCCCCTTTTCGCAGCATGTCGCCAGCCACGCGGATCCTCAACTCCCCCTCATTAGAACGAACATTTATCCTGATTTATCCTCATACCTAGGTCTCGATGTAAGCGCATGTCTGACTTACACATCTGAGGTATAAATACACACGCGCAAACCCCACACACGACACAATGACACCAACGTAGCTGTTCTCCGAAGTAAACGGTTGTGTCCACATGCTCTCCGGTCTATTTCCTCATCGCGGGTATCAGGGAAGCGTAATCGGGCCAGGGTTAATTCAGTGGCCCCGGCGTGGTTCAAGACCACATGGTAGGGCCCACAACAACGGTAATCCATCTTCCCTATATTTTTACCATATATCAAATTAATATACCGGAGGTTGCATCGTTGTGCCTTACATGCTCGTCATTAAAAACATTAATTCCAGGCCACTCATAGTGCATTTTTAAGGACTGTAAAGAAGACAGGCTAAGTTATGAAGAGTTTAAATTTATTTATTTCACGAGGCGCAGACTAAGAGCCCCGTGAATGGTAAATGTGATCAACAACTCCTTAGTTGCTGTGATTTGTGCATACCTAATATTAGTAACCGCATTTCTTTGACATGGAACTCAAATTGTCTATTTTGGCACCAAACCAGAAGAGCAGACACTTTTGCTAGAGCGCATGCGGTGAGCTTCGTGGAACTGCTATTTTCACTTTAAATGTGAGCTATCTCTGAGACTTCTAACAAGTCAGCTTGCAACCACACACGGTATATCGTGTCTCAGAGGATAACGTATTGTATTTCCTTAGTCATTTTAATTTTAAGCATGTAGTAAGGGAACCGAATGAGTTTTGAAATTGAATCTGTAATGAATCGAAGGAAGTCACGCGTGTGAATAATTTTGAGTTAACATTACTGTGCAACCACAAAAAGTGAAATATTCTTAGATTTATGCATTAGTCCAATAGCAAAAAAACGAAATGTTTGTCAAGGCACCTATCTATTAGTAATTTGTCCGACTAGTACCTCTTTTGATCAAAACAGTAATCACTTTAATACGTCAACTCTAGAGCCTGAATTAATTAACCGAAATCATGGCAACATTTAATGCTTCAACTAAGAGCTGATAAAAGACCACCTAGACTTAATTCGAATTTATTTGGTTAAATGTGTTGATTGTAAATAGCGCAAAATGTAACTTTCATTTAACCCAAACCATCTTATTATTACATAGAATGCATTCAAAAAAAATAAGAATATGATATTATTAAAGGTATTGCTTACTCGAGAAGTCATATAAGATTCCTAAAAAAATACTTAATTAAACTCACAGAACCATGGCACTGACGAGAGGAGGTCTTTGAGGGTTTCTATTTAAAAAGAATAAAAAAACTACCGAGTTTGCTAGAATTTACGAAACCAAAAACAGTGCTTAACAAAGCACACTATATTCGCTTTGAAAGAACATTTGTGAATCGGAACTCGCGACATTCTAATCAATTTAGATAAGTCAAAAATTCATTTGGACAATAAATGCAAACTAGGTCATTTAATTCTGTTAATAAAAAGTAGGATAGGAAATCCAAACTTACTGTCTTAGTGGGTTGACTCTGTTCAACATACGCTGAGGATTCTCTTTGGGCAATATCGGCTCTGAAATCCGGACGTTCGTAGGCTGCTCCCTTGAATAAAACAGGTGCAATAATCCTTTATCCTAATCTAGAATGCCACCATTTGCGTGAAAGTGCAGTGGCTTCGTTAGTGCTACTTGGTAACTCTGTTAGTCGGCAGTCCGTAACAGCCCGATATGAAAGCCAAGACCAATGATAGCCAACATGCCTATTTATTTGCTTTTGACCACCCAAGTCCATTATAGCACAGCGCGTGAGTGCATCTTGAACGTCAACTGTAACCGACAATCGACGTCAGTTGGTCAACTCGTGGATACGCTTCACTCACGCTCGTTTCATGAAAGTTCACTGCAAAAGAAGCCTGGAAGTAATGCGATAGGGCAACGAGGAAAAATCAAGACTTAGTCCTTGAATAAGTGACAACCCTTGAGAATTTTCAATTTATTTAATCACCTGTTGACGAATGCTTTGTTCTTGGGTGGCATTGTTGCAAGGACTCTATCCTATTCCATATAATATAATGTAGAGAAGGAGGCAAAGTTGTGGTTATTTAAAGTAAAAAATGGCTGCTCCTTACTTGAATAGGATCAATTGGGTCACGAGGCATTGCACGCGCAGCTTCAAGCTCCTCTACAAAATCCACCGGTTTGTATGCAGAGCTCTAAATCGATAATTTTCTAAATTTTATAAAACACTCTGAATTGACTTAAAGTGAGAACTTATTTAATCCACAAAACGCTGCTAAAATTTTTTTACATTTAACAATCAACGTAAATTGTGGTCCAAATGCTACAAAACCACAATTTCATAGTTAAATCAGTAAATCAGTGCTACACAATTTAATTACACAACCCTGCAAAACGTTTTCGCAGCTTTAAACTGTTATCTGGAACACAGATACGCCATCGTTTAGTAATAACAAAATTAAATTTTGTATCTAGCTCACAATAATAGATGTGGCTTAGTTGTATTACGATATACCATCATCAGTTTTGCTAAATTGAAATTGCCTCGTGACTTATAAAATGTGACGACGAAATTCGGCATGTTTAACAGTCTTTGGCTAAGCTAAACTAATAATTCAGAACACATTAGAGATACTCACAGTTTTCTGTTCATACAGATTCTTTATTCTAGCTGCTACAATTCCACTCAGCACCAAGGATTTGAAATCAGTCACAGCCTGCGTGGATTTCTGTGGTGGCTCTTCAGCGGTTTCATTGCTTAAACCCAGTTGATCTTGTGGCGCCTTGGTAGCAAGCATCATTTTTTTTTAAAAAAAATCAGACCCAGATAAACACGAAAGTGGAAAAAATTGCCTAAGAAATCAAAATAGTGTAATTATATTTTACACATTGCCTCTGATATTAAGCTCTTGACATACTTTCCGTTGAGTTGAAAAACAAGAACTTCAAGGGTCATTACCTGCAAAGACATTAATTAAGTCGAAAATAAGCTTTTGTAAACAATTTTTTCAGCAATTTTCAAGACTATTTCCATGATAAATGGTAACAGAATGGATCTACTTGGCTAAGAAATTGTTTATATAATTTAAATAATCTTTGCAAAAATGATTTTGAAACAATTTTTGGCCTTACCGATGCGTTTAAGTTACCAAAGATTTTCCCAACAATTTCATCCCAATTGACGTCGCTTACGTCTCGGGCGCTGATTTGAAGGTGGATTGTCTAGGTCCAAAAATATTAGAATCAACAGTATTAATTCAACTAGAGTCCTGAATGACACACTTGGGATAGTGGTACACAAAATAGGAAAACCAAAATGAACCAAACTTTGGCTACAATCGAGACGATCGAATTAAATATAACAACTTAGCATCTTAGGTGATGAGTTCAAACTATTCAAAAACAAGAATGACGTAACGCACTTGTCGAAATGGTTGAGCGATAATATAATTATGAATTTAGTCAGACTCGCACCTACAGTCGCTGACAGCAAAGTTAAAATTCACTAACCTTGCAAAGTTTTGCGATTTCTTCCCCGTTCCTTATGTATTCAATAGTTTTATTTTTTAAAGACGCTGTACCTAGCTAATGAACCATAATTGCATCGTGAAAAAGATACCCAAAGAACGAAAACGTATTTGGCAACTGAAGCCGACTTTTCAACTAGTCTTGCATACCCATACAAAACTTCCGATGGCTTGGCATGTTTCAACATTTTTTCAAGTTTGTCGCCTTAAAAAATTAACGACAAAAAGGCTTTACCTGTGGATTTGACTTGTAACGTATCCGTTGAAGCAGAGTACCCTAACCATAACCTAAATAATGTTTACACCAAGTAATTTGCAAACCATGTTTTTTCTCCACATTCAACTTGAGTTAGTGCATCTCTGATCGAGGTCCCATTCGTAATTAAATCGAGCATTATAAAGGTATGGACTTTGAAAACGCACAGAAAATATTTGACCTTAAATTACTTCAATTGAAATAAGCAAACAAGTATGGTAGTATTTGAAATGTTTTGTGCTGAGACATGTATCTTTCAAAATATTTTAGACCTACACCTGCATGTCAATGATTAAATGCTCTGTTAATAATAAAGGCTTCAAAACAATTTTTCTTTGTCTTAGTTTCTTCCTTCGGCACTTGGAAATCTTGGTTTATCAGGTAAATCAAGGGCAATAGTTTAATAGACCCCTTCAGTAGAGACTGCAACTCCTAAATAATTTATTGCATTTTAGATTGTTGCTCCCTAATTTTGTATCTGTTTAGGCTAAAATTATCTCTGCCCTTTAAGTCAAGTGAAATGGAGATTCAATAGGCCATTAGTCAATACAAGTCTTCAAGAGAAACAGATTTGCACTCTAAAGGATAATCCACTTTTCCAAAGATGATGGTTGGTTGTGACATCCCACATGAGATATCGTGGGCTAATTTTTTTTGTTATTCATGAGAATCATGGGTGATAAACTTAGATTTGTCAAAGTCACAGTTTTTGAACTAATGCAAGGCAGCCAATATTTGACTGCTATGTGGGGCTTGCAGAAACAAGCTATCTTTTTGTAGCAGTGCTCGAATGCTGTATAGCTAATGTTTGGATACGTAATAATAATATTTCAGCTTTTACGTGCAATGCTATCTGTACTTCTGGCATAGTACTACTGTTCTCTTCATGCATTAGACTCCTCGTGATTAACTGCAAAATCAACGCCATGCCTGCGTAATGACCGATTAAATTTTATTCATGTGATCGAAGAGACGAAGCGTTCTATGTTCCCCCGACATTCTCTCCACACCGGGTACCTTGCGAGGTATCGTGCCTTCAACAAGCTCGACATTAACCATGACAGCTTAGATTTTGTCAAAATAGTGTAGGAAAAAGATAGTAATGGTAACCATTTTCTCCAAGGCTCTAATCATAAGCAAACTAGATCCCCACGAGCCCCCTGAAAGTACAGCATCTGCGGACAATACTAAACACCGTACGATGGACGGTAATCTGGTTATTATCAATACACACATGAACACACCACAGAATTTTATCCACGGCTCCAAAATACCCAAGTGACTAAATTGCGCATTTGCTTTATTGGTCATGCTCCGAAAATAGCGACCTTGGAAAGTAAGCTTAGATCGACCAGAGAATTACAACGCTAATTGAAAGATATTACGCGTCCTAACCGAGGGTAGTGCCTCTGTACTTAACACTTATTGCGACATCTCCATAGTTCTTGCCCAAGGTTTTAGTTTTGACAATGAGAGACTGCAATAGATGTTGGTGAATCTTTTTATGCTATCAATGGAAAGACAGACCCCCCCCCCAAGTTAGTTAAGATAAGCGATTCAACGTAAGTAAAATGTTATATTCCACAAATATATATGAGCGCACAAACTGAGGTATGTGTTCGAAACAACACACCCAATTAAACGAAGATGCCTAAAGTCAAAAGAAATCAAGTTAATACACAGAACATCAGGCATGATGCTAATATGCCTAAATAGGTAGATTTAAATGAAATGGTGCAATTCCTTTTATTGACATATCTTGTATGTAAATTAAAGTACGTGAGAAAAAGGTAGGCCATACAAATACAAAAAAAACAGAACTTGGCTACATAAGTGCGTTCTTCAACCTACTTGGGCATCCTTCAAGTGGAGACTTCGGCCGGCGTCGACTGTGCAAGGGGTGGCGGTGAGGCCTTGGGGAGATTATCAGAGGGGTTGACTTTTGCATCAGAGGGTGCAGCAGTGCCTGACTTGCCCGGAGCAACCCACTTGAGTTTGTGCGAGAAGGCAGGGATGGTTTTTGCCGCGGCTGCCGCGAGCACTGAGTCGGAGGCAGGCATGGGATGCGCAAAGGGACACGTGGTGGCCCTGTGCAGACAACCCGCGCCGAAGCGGCACACAGGAGTGGGGGGATGGTAATAGGGGCAGGCGCCCGCTGGTAGCTTACAGTGTGGAAAATAACGGCAGGTGACGGCCGAGGCGGGTGATACCAAGGCTGGCGCGGAGGCAGCGTCTTTCGGGGATGAAAAAGGGGCTAATGAGGCGCAGAAAAGCGCGATAAGACAGCTTAAGACCTCAGACTATAAAACCCTGATACTTTGCTTGAAAATTATTGCATTGCTATATTCTTTTTTGGAGCGTTTTAATAGAAAAACACATTAGTGATCTTTAAGTGGCAAAACAGGTCAGAGTTTTGCTAAAATTTATATAGTTGTGCCAAGTGCCCGCCATAATACACATAAAAAACAACAATCAGCTATCGATGTGGCCCGCGTTTAAATTTTGGCAAGTGCAGAAGCCCAATTGAAATACACATTATTCCACTTTTACTCTTCAGAGAACACTCCTTCGTTTAAGGATATCTAAGGTGGATTAATGTTTTCCTATTAGTTTAAACACTGACCAATACAGACTTCTGAATGACACAAAACTCTGGAATACACTGCGGCCTATGTTTTGTGACAATATTTAAACAGCAGTGACTACCAGCATAAAAGTAGTGTTGTCCTAAAAATAAATTCTTGCGCTTCTGCTTCCAACTTTTCGAGGTAAAATTTCAATGCACTTTTGTCCAAATTATAAATAATCTACAGACATGAGTTTGATACAAAACCGAAGCGCGCGAATAAACTTGCGTTGCATGATCCTTGTGTAAATTAAATGATACAAAATAACCATTAATGCGTGTTATAATTAGAATCCATGCATTAGTGATGAACACACAAGATTTTCAATGAGGTCCTTCAAAACCGACATGCTGCAGCAAAATAGTACACTCGACGACAGTTAAAATAAACACTGGAAGTACCTTGTCTTGGGTGAGAGAATGAACAGCCTGGACGAGTGCACTGGAGGCCGTAGCGACAAGGTGGGTGGATGTACAGGCAACGGTCACCGAACTTGCAGGATGGAAACGCTTTGCACTCCTCCTTGGGGTGTATATAGTTGCAACTCTCCTGATTACGACAATTAGGCCAATACTTGCAACGCTGAAGGGAGCTGGGAAGACAGATGGCTTGAAATATAATTCGTCTCAGATATAAGTCATCAGTTATCTATCACAGTACTTTTTGTGATGGAACATCTAAATAAATAGCTAATTAAGGGCATTGCTTAATCCTTGCATTGACCTCTAAAGCCCTGATTCAAGCGTAAAGTGCGTGAAAACATGAGAAACTTGTAATGTTCAGCATAGAAGCACCTTATAGAACTTGCAACTTAGAGGTAACGAATAATGATGTTTGAGAATGATTTTCATACAATACCGATCATTGTCTTTAAGAAAACGATAATCAATAATCATAGGCACTTAGGAATACCTCCTTAATTCACCGCCATCTTCAACATCGGTAGTAGGGTGCCCAAGTAGAGCCCAACAAGACACTAAATATTCACACACAGCTAGTACTTACATCCAAAGACAAGACTTGTGACATGCTAATTTGCATGACCTATAATAGTATCAGAACCAATAAATATATTACTAGATAAAGTAAATATCTGTTAAATTTCAAAGCCATGTTTTACAAAGCATTAGCAATAAGACTCAACCTGGGAATATTGCCTCTGTAGGGTTTCTTTTCAGTAGAAGCCCCATCACCTTCACCATCGTCTGGGACACCGAGTGTAAATGCTTCGTCAATTTCCTCTTCGTGCGAGTCGCTTAGAACAATCTCCATTCGTGGTTGCTTTGATTGAGCCTTTTTTGCGATGAGAATCTCGCGGGCGTCGCGCAGTGCACTGTCCTCAATGGAGTTGGTGGAAGGCGTAACTCGCGGACCAAGACGAGATTTGACGCTGGGCTTAGTCACCACAGGCTCTTGACTCATAGTCACGACGAAACGGGTCACACTCTCAGGACTCGCATCATCACCTGTCGTTGATCTGAAAACAATGTATTGTCCAATTATGAAAGGAATGGCGGTGTTGACATGGGAACGGTCTTAAAAAGGCGGCTATGCAAAATCACAGACTGCCTGAAGGAAGTAAGGTTATACTGAAAAAGTGACTCAAGGACAGCTGACTCTTACAAGTTCAAATATTGAACACAGCAAATGTGTTAACGTAAACGTCCCGATGATCGACAGTAAATTTAACAAATCAATATTTCAGTTCACACACTTCCAATTTATGGATGGTAATGGCGTACGAAACTACCGGTATTGTAGCGCAAGCGGACAAAGTGGGAATATATAGGTTAAATATCCAGCTTCAAAACACAATTCTTACCCGTTAAAGACTATGGGAAGACGAACAAACACTTCAACAAATAGACGTTAGTCTAAGTAACAAAGAAATACTTTTGGATAGGACGCTTTTTCCCTCGGACGACAGCAGCAGGTCTTTCTTGAGGCTTGGTAGTACTGGCTCGAGCTTCAGTCATTGCGCGTTTCAAAAGTATACCACCAGCGGCCGCAGCATGAGCTCCTCCACCTCCAGATTGTAATGATTGAGAAGGAGTAGCTGTTGAAATCTAAAGAATATTACAAAATTCACAGATTCAAATGCCACTAAAGCTTACATTTTTATTGGTAGAAGTAAGGAGCAGAAATATTGGACTTAGACAATAAGATTAACTGACAAAGTATATAAATAAATCTTATACATACTTTGACAACAGAACGAACCACAGGAATATTGTCAGAAGCTGTGGTTACGTTTTTGTTGCTAAGACTCGACGTAGTAACAACGCGCCGCTGCTCAGACGGCTTTGGTGCTGAGGATTGTACACGATCACCGCCCAGAGGCAGGGCATTTTCTTCTGTAAATTCATCTATAAACCCATATTATAATACATGTTGTATTACTTTCGTCTGTCTGAACGTTAACAACATCAGTGACAACTGGTTCCTCTACATGACCTTTATGAGGCGAAATTGGAGAACGGGATCGAGAGCGAGTGCGTTGAGGTTTGCTAGTCGAACTAGACCCATGGGAAGACCGCTTAGACTTTTCCCTTTTTTGGCCTCTACTTGATTTTGAACTGGATGTGCTAGCTGTTGCTTCTTTCCGCGAGCCTACAAGGAGGACTTAAAAAGATGTCAAGACGTACTCTTTTGTTGGCCCTTCGATTCAAGGACACCATGAAGCCTAAAAGGAGAATATTGACAAGGCAATCTAACCAATTAGTAAATTTTTCCGTCTGAGACCCGAGAAAGAGTTGTAAATCCTTGATCATGCTTTCGCGTTTCTTTTTGTTCGCCACCATAACCATTATGTAATCTGGTAGTTCTTCATCTGCAAATGCTCCAATTTCATTAAGCTTGACTTTAACAAGATCCTTTTACAGAAATTAAGGGTTATTATGACATTTTACCTTTATTTCTGAAAGAAAATCAGATGAATAAGGCATAGCCAAAACGCGCAGATATTCAAAAGCAACAACTGTCAACGCACACCAATTTCTCCCACAAAGCGGCACGAGGGAACCTATTTATCATTAACATTATTAATTTTTTATCTAAACTTTAACTCAGTATCAAAAATTCAAGCGATGTTTTTTTCCAATTATTTGCAATGCGCCAAATTTCACTTAAAATGCACAGTGCTGTTAAAAAATAGCATAGTACTGGGTTTCCAGATTAATGTAGGTTTAAATAAATTTTATTGCACTGTGACATGTGATGTCAAAAATATTCCATTTATGCAATTAAAAAAATTAAAACAGATGATTGTAAAATTTTTTCAAAATTGGATTATCACAACAATGTATCATATCTATTTGAGATGTTGTGGAATGTTCAAATCAAGTACAAGCAATATTGCCAATCGTTCATCATCTACTATCATGGTCCTTTTTCCCATATTTGAGCTTACTGCTCTCTTAGGATGCCTATATACCAGGGTAACTCTGTTTCTATAATAAATATTCATATGTATTATTGTGTGTCATTATTTATGGCTCCTTATGCCTAAAAAAGAGAATAGCTACAGTATAAAAAGACTTTTGATTAGCATTAGGCTTTGGAATCATGTGTATAGTTGGATTGTTCTTGTTAATTGCTGATTATTCCTCTCGTAATTTTGACAAACGTACGTTGCTTTTTGATCCGTGGACAGTTCCGCTGATGGATTTTTGTCTGGTTTGTTAAAAAGCACGCCATTGTTATTTTTAGAATTTTGTAATGTTTTTAATTTGGTTTGTATGCCTGTGTTAAAATGAACCAATTCTGTATTCAAAACCTCCCGTGTCTAATTTGTGAGTGGTGGGTAAAAGTGCCTTGCGCGATGAACCAAAGCGAAAATATTGGGCCTTGGTATTGTTTATATTCATATTTTTCATAAAATAAAGTCCAAAAAATTTTAGTTGCCTTACACCATATTTTGACACGTATGAGGGAGAGCTCAAACTACTAATTATGGACCTTGATAATTTAGTGGAAAGAAAAAAATTAGAGTGGACTTCCAAAGTTAAAGAAATTGAGACAAAACTCTTTGAAGAAAGACGGTTGCATTCAGAGGCTAGGTCTGTGCTAGCGATGAAGGAAAAAGAGGTAGTTCTGTTGTCATACTTATATAAAAACAGCTCGCAAAATTGGCCCAACATGCTAGATCATTAGAAGAGATGAATGAATCCGTGAAATCAGACTACGAGCGGCAAATTGCAAGCCTCCAAAGTTCGACTAATCTAATGTCGCAGAACCTCTCGAAACTCCAACTTAAATACGACAAGTGGCGGTCTCGAGGTCGTACTTCGTTTGTGAAAAAACGGGACGTTGGTACGAGTGTTAAGTGAGCTTTTCTTCTTCCTCTGTTTTATTCAAAACTCTGTTCAGATTAATTGGTCGCGTTATTTTAGAACCTCCAGTCCTTAACGTTTGTGTATTGAGTAGTTGCCTTTTCCCACTTCCATGAAACGATGTTTCTAACGTTTGAATTGTGACTGGCTTAACTCCGGACTTCACGCGACATTTATATTAAACAGCATTTGTATGACATGGCGCACATTTAACATCTCCAGTTTGCGTTAATACTTGTTGTTTCTCAGAGTCGGGTTGTACTGCAAACGTGTATGAGTATAGGGATTTTGTGTTGCTTTGTAGTGATGCACAGCAAGAGAGGAAAGTGGATAAAATGACACATTGTGGTTCTGTCGCTTCACATTCTCGTCAGTTTGAACTAAAAATGCAGCTTCTTTCAAAGAACATGGAGATTGTTGATCAAAGAGATCAACTTAACTCTCTGGAACTTGCTTTTCGGACGCAGATTGAAGAAATTGAACGCCAGCTTAAAGAACTCGTCTGCTTGAAGCGCTCTCAAGTAATTTCCTTATGGTGCATGCAAATTGTTTGAAGAACAGATGTCTTAATTACTTTACATGTTTCTGGTACAATAAGCGCCTTGCAATACCCACATTTTTTTAATTTGGTGTCGAAGTCTTGAACGATTGGGTAGGTGGGTAGTTACGCTAAGTCTGCTCAATTATCTACAAAGATCTCTACTTTTTAGTTTTTTATCGCTCACTGTTTATGTTTTCATCCAAATTTTGTTTCGATGTTTTCAATTTCGGCTAATTGCGTTAACAATGCAATCTGACATGCTTCTTTCGTCCAAACCTGGGGCTCACCACAAATCATTGCTAACAGGCATGTGCGATGTTTTCTATTCCAATTCTTTTATTCGTCAGCGTAATATTTGCCCGTCTAGGACGAGAAGATCCTTGCCCTTAAGCGCCAGCAGACAAATCATCGAACTGTTCGCAGCTCCCGACTTCATTGCCCACCATCAAAATCAATGCCCCCAACGAGCGAGGTCATGGTTCAAACTCAAATTTCTCCTAAGACAGAGTCAGCGTCCACAATGACCAACTCCAAGTATGTCGTTTCCTCAAGGGCGGAGGACGTGGTGGCGAAATTGGAAAAAGATTTGATTATGAAGACAAATCAAATTAGGTACAGTGATTTGTATTCGTAAATAAAACTGTCCAGTGACAGGCGGCATCCTGTAGTCAACTGTTTCACATGCCTCTTATGATTTTTGGCGGTTGATGTGCCTTCCTTATTTTTAATAAATGATAGTTTGCAAACAGGTTGACTGCGCTTGATCGCGTGTTTCGCCCTTGCTAGTGGTAAACTATTCCTTGTTGATCTTTCGTTTTTAGAATACAAACATGAAATCAGCTTTTATTTTTGCTTAGTGAACTTGAGGATACGTGCAGGTCAACCGTGGAAACTGTCAACAAGTTAAAACTAGAACTCGAGGAGAGTAAAGCTGCACTCGCGCAAAAGTGTTCTGAATTAGAACATGAAAAGCTGCGTCCAAAGCCCCGAGAACGACAAGGATTTCGCTCTAAGGTAATGATTACTTGTGCTCTCAAAATAGGCTAGAGAATTCTGTCACTTCTGGAAAAGTGCGTGTCGTTGTCTTTTTTTACTTATTGTGTTTCCCTTTCTCAAATGCCTCAAATAACCGTAGTTCGAAATATTGATGACGCATATCGGGTATATTATGTTATGGGCTTGCTTACTTCAAATTTTTTATCGCTGACTTTTGGGTCACAATGAACTGTCCGGTTTCGACTAAATACTTCTTCAGTTAGTTGGTGTTTCTTCGTTTAATGCCTACTTCATTCAGTCATATTATGTGGGCTTGTTTTTGTCTTCCTTAGGCATGCCAAACGAAGCCGAAGGGATGCTGTAGTCAAGGAGTAGATGCCATGCTAGTTAAAACTCGGGAAGTCGAATGTCAGGTAAGAGTCTATGTTAACAAAGAATGATTTGCTCCTGTGTGTTAGCTAAAGTAGAATAAGATAGCAGTTGTTTTAGTTCAGTCCACTTAATGTAACCGCAGGACTTGCTTGGGACTTTAACTCACACGACTACAGCCGGCTCCATGCCATGTTGATTTATACGACATTACGCAATCCCTCCTGATCTACAGGCATATTCCTAATGAATCGTTTCTCGCTTTTGCTGATATCACATAAATGTTTTACTAGTCCTGTTTCAGTACGTGTTGTATTTTAAATCTAGGTATCTGAAACTGAACGAGCGTCAAGCAATTTTCCGGGTTTTCTTACAGAGGCGCTAATAACATTAGGCGAGAATTGTCGTACGATCTGTAGCTCTTCATCGGGAACCCGGAACGAAGGCGTTTTTGTTAATAGAAACAACGCAACGTCTCAGGATGAATTGCAGGCACAAACTCAAGTTCTCCAGAGCCCTGATTTCGCAATCACCTTACCTTCTCGAACCGAGGCAAGTTTGCGTGTCATTTCTGGAGTGTGACTGGATGCATCTTTTATCGTGCTTTAAAGTATTCGTGTCCTCTTAAATTGTACATTACTTGCCAATGCTGATTACGTTTGTGTATCTTTAGATTGAGCCAAAATTCATTTTGTACAACTTTTACGAAATAAAGTACAAAATACTTCTGGACAAACCCTTTGTTAGACCATGCTTCTGTTGAGTCCTCTGCTTGCTCAACTCTTGCCAAGAGATTTAGGTAATTTCACAAAGAAGAATCTCAGAGAGGCTTTTGTGAAGATTTGGGGGGAGGGGGCAAAAATGCATTAAGACTTTGTGCCATGTTGTGGGTTTTCTGCTGAGTTTGCTTTTTGTATTGTAGGTCGACGTATCTGTGGATGTGACTGATGCCTCCCAGTGTAGCGGTACGAACGTCCAAGCATTGATGGCCGACTGGAAATCTACTGAAGATCGGTTGATAAACCAGCTCACAAACTGCGTTAGTTGCGCTTACTTGCCTTGCTTTGTCTGCCCAATTTTTGCTACGCGATTTTAGTATCGCGTAGTATTGTGGTATTAATCCAACTCAGGAATCCATTGCTTCAAAGTCATGGTTTCTTACCTTGTACCTCCTTGCAACCCGTCCATTGAGCTTCTTCATTTGGCACATCGTTGTACTTGGGTTTCCCCCGTAAATGTGTGCACATTTTGCTCAGTTGTTGAATAGCGTTAAAGGAATAAATGTAGGAATTCTGACAATTGGTAACTGACCGAAGCGTAAGGCCAAGATATGTCGCTAGCTCCCACAACTTGATCCGCTCTATCGAATAACCCTCATTTGAAAGATGTGCTAGTTTGCAAATCGGCAAACGTCTTTTAGGCAACCGTTATGAGCCCCACTTGGTTAACGGCGATCGCAACGTCACAGGAGGCTTCGACAGCCACTGCCGCTCTGGATGCCGCGGTTGCTGCACAACAGGGGCAGTATCCTACTGCTTCTGCTGTTCCCCAAGCACCAGTAGTGGCTATTACCTCCTCGACAACGCCCGCCTCTTCATCGATTTCTGGGTCGGAGAGGGCAGAAGCCTCGCATTTTTCGTCCTCCTGGTTCCCAACTGAGGAGCAGTGCTTCGACCTCAATAGGAGACCAGCGTACGTTGACACTCTTTTACATCTCCAACTATTAATCGGTTTGCAAGGGACAAATCCAAACCGTTGAACATTCGAAAACTTGCTTCATGTTCTAACCCGCGTTCATGCGGCTTATCGTGGACCGTACATAATCTTACCCCTGTTTACTCAGGACTTTTATCAAAGCGTGTGTTGAATTTGATCTGCAACATTCCTAATTCGTACCATCTTCCATTAATGTAAAAGTGCTCTAATCGGATGTACAGTTTGTGCGTCACAAGGTCACACACTCAGCAGTCCTCAGCTGACCCCAAGACGGCCCTTATTAATCTCGAGTCCTTTGTTCGACCATTTTCCGCGCCTGAAAGATCTTGATATTCTACTAGTTTAAATACTATTATGCAAAAAAAAGATTGCTTGTAAGTGTCAACTACAAGTTTTCATCAAATAAGTGTTGTATTGCATACTAATCTGTTCTCTGTTTGCACCAAAGTGGATCAAATCGGGAGTTGTCTTGTTGTACATTTGATGAGTTGCTTATAGTTGGTGATAGTTTGCAAGGTTCGCATCATTTAAGAATGTTGCCTTTAAATTTGCGCAGTATACTGTTAAGTGTTGTCTTTGCCAGGGACTGTTAATGTGCCAACAACATTCGTCCATAACTTTCGGAGTTTTTATCTGCACTCTAAAATTCAGCACTTTGTTCCCCTTTGTTCATTTATTTCAAGCACCGTCTTTAACGAAGACAGCTGTTCATTGCCTTTTAATGCTATCACAGATTATATATAACCGTTTCTTGTGCCAGTCCCTTATTCAGGAATGCTGCTTACAAAACTTACATCGCTGTCCCAGACACGCCTTAATGTTGCAATTAATGGATCTATTAAAATCAAATTGAGGTTAGGTTTTGACATTCTCTTGTGTTTCTCGCAGTCAAACTTGGCAATCTGGGGCTATGTAGTGAAAGAGGTCTAATATTCCGCTCCATTTTTAAGCAACAATAAGTTGATTCAGGAGACTAATATTAATCCTATTTTCCATCAACTACCGAGATTTCATTTCTAAGGTCTAGATCTCTCAATGTAAAACTAGATACATACTTTGTGAATTCAAACTCTCGTATGGTCCATAAACAATGACCTCGTCTACAAACACATTCATCCTCGCGCTAGGTAGTGCAACTTTTTGAAAGTGAAGACTACTGATTGAGAAAACACTGCGTACCTTAGTTCTTGGTTTCCGTAGTTGTGTGAATTTGCATGTCAGCCATCACAGCAATTTATTTGATGTAACCTTGCCGAAATTTGTGCTCTGCTCATATTCAATCCCTGCCAAGTTGTCTGTACACGTTTTCTCTTTTATTCTGACAAGTTGTTTCTCGAGATGATCATTATTTGCTTAATTCTTTTTTTAAAAATTTATTCAGGCCGGTTTTGGAATGTAATCAGCCGGAAACTGCAATTCCTTCATTAGCGAGGCCAGTAGCTGGGGCCTCGGTACCCCGCCCACCGACTAAGTGCCAGCGGGTCAAAGCACGACTACCTCGCGCCTCCGAAGTGCCAACAAGATCGTCTGTGGTGTCTGCTGCAGGGGACACCTGGGACGATGTACGTTCAGTGTTGCGATTGCGCCTTTTCATTACGCACCAATCTTCACAGGGCCGCTAAATGCGAATCTACAACTGATCTGATTCTATGTCACGTTGTTGTGAAAGCGTTTCACAGTAACAGTGTATAGAAACCAAACACAATTGTCGTTTGATCTTTTGTCCTAATATTACAAGTACGTTTGTTGTGAACTGACAAATTGTATCCTAAAAGGTGACTTTAGGTACATTGAAATACGTTGGTGCCTATTTTTCGGCAAAAATTCGCTCGCTAATTAGGTAATAAATTACTTATTTTGGCACTATTTACAATCATGGACTTGATTCTCCATGCTTTCTGGATTCATTGACATCCCTTTCGATCGTATTGTGCCGAAAATCTACCCAAAATTTTTCTCTAAGGGCTTTTCGTGTTTTCAAGTGTTGAGTCTACAAACGTTTGATTTCTGTAAAGTGATCTCATCTACTAACGTGCCTTTTTAGATGAAGAAAGTTTTTTCGTAACCACATTTTCAAGGCCAACAAAACGGTCCGAAAAGTACTCCAATTTCCTACGTATGATTTTCGGTCAGGTTGTTTCAACGTTGCAGTGTGATACAATGATGAGCATTTTAGCGATTTGCACCTAACCACCACATAACGCCTAAATGTAATGCGACACTTTCGATTTCTTACTTTGTGCAGACATGTGGACGCAAGGCGCGTGCTTTGGTCTTCATCTGCTCGCCCCGTCCCTTTATCCTCGTCCACTTTACCCCCTCCTCTCGTCTTACTTCATGTAAGCGTGCGTGTGTAGTCATGACGACCTCTCAATCACGCTCGTCAGTTAACGATAGGATCTGGCCAATTTTCAGAAGATGCGTGCCATTTGTTGAATCCGATTCGCTGTCTTTCTTAGTGAAGAACCACTTTTGTCAACGTTTCTTGTTTGGAGCCCTACTCCTCCATTAGCTAATGGGAAGTCTTTCCATTTATACTTTCACCGAACTAAAAGTTATTAACCATCCCCCAACTCAGAACCTTGGCATTTGTGGGTTTAATACCTTTTTTGCATCTGCTGCATTTAATGGATTCCCTTGTTTGTTTGTTTGTTTTTCGTGGTTTTTCGGGTACGATCACGCCTTCATTCAAAGGCAATAAATCTGATTTCTCCAATAAAGGAATTATAGCACGGTTTTACCTGCCATTCTGTTGCATAGGTATGCTCACAGTTGTCCTCAGCTTTGATGCTGCTAAGCTTACAGCGTGTCTGTTTCTTAATTCACTCTAGCCTCTGGTACCATTTTTTGATTAACAACAGAGAAATCTACCTTATGCTTGGCAAACCGGGTGTGCGCCTCGTTTAGGTAGCAAGAAAAGGGAGGCATAGGGAAAGTGTCTAGAATTTGTCATTTGCATTCTCTGTTTCAGCCTTTGGTGCTTCACGCTTCTTTTGATGAAGCTACTTTGATTTGAATTCAGCCAATAATTACTCCGTGTGGCCTTAGGTCAGGCAGTTATGTTGCGGTTTATTGACCTTTGTCTCAGCCATGAATGCCCCCGCTTCTGACAGTCATCCGCCATGCTCTTTGTGCACCGAACTCGCGTCCGCTGTCAGAATAGTTGCACTTGGGCGAATGATTTAACTTATAACCAGTTCATTTTGCAACTTTGATTCCATACTGCGTGAGGTTATGGCACGATCTGCACTGCCACCGTTGACCTTACTTTATGTCTAAATCGAGTATTGCTTCTTGGACCTGTCTGCTGTCTGGGGCTTGTGTGAAGTTCCTCGGCCGTTCCTTCACATCTGCAAACTCGTCTTGCTCCTGTCTTTTGGGCTGTTCATGAAGACATTGCGGATGATGAATTTTTCAAAATGCGAAAAACGCTCCTGTTCTACATTTGCGCGAGCTTAAGCGCACACAAGACGCATATATGCCATTCTTGTTCAATGTAAATTCTGCCTTCAGGGTTTGCTCTTTACCATTTTTGACAGCTCTCTTGCCTGACACAGTCTAGTTGGCCAAAATATTTTGCACATCTCTTTATCCCGCCGTGTGAAATATGGTACTTAAAGTGAAACTGGGTTTAGGGCTGCAGCTTCGTCGGGCATTAAGTAGTTTTCATCTAACTTTGCACATATTATTCCGCAACTTGTTCTCATGTGTCATGTGAATTCCTAGAGCCGTCGGTTGAAAGTGCTACGGTAATTTTTCCTTCAACAAGGCCTTTTGATGGGCTATGCGTAAAATTCCAACAACATTATGCAAATCGGTTTTATTTCAGACCAGCTACTTCGCCAAAGCAAGTTCTAATGTTTCACATATCGTCATCTGTGAGCCAAGTTGTCGATAAACCGAATTAAGATCTAGGTATTTGCCCCATCAAGACAAATGCTTTTCTGGTTATAGCGAAAGGTAGGTTCCTGCAGTCGAGAAGTTGTTCTCACATCACGCGGGTATTTGGTGGTCGGTTATTGTGCCTGCACTCTTATTCTCTGTGTGTCCTGCGCAGTGTTTTCCTGTAATTCCTACCTACTTCGCATAACTTCTTGTTGATCACTGCCTTCAAATAATCTGCTTCTTAACAATATTTAGATTATCCAATCGTCTTTTTTTATTCTTTATTACCGTGCACGATTCGCCTATCATTTTCTTTTGCACGCGATGTGTAAACTGAGCGTTTTCATATAGCTTGATCAAAACATCGCAGTTGTGGATATATTTCCGGAAATTCTCTCACGTTGTTTGTAGCCTGGTATCGTAAGGATTGTGTCATTGCTTCACGAAGTTCTTGGGATGATTTAGCTGCCTCTACTTTCGGTGACACAGGAAAAAAGGCATGTACGTTTTGGTTTAGTGGTAACCTGTCATCAGTGAGTTATGTCAAGTCGTTTTGCAAAACATATTGAAGCACACTTTTGTTCACGACAAGTTAATGTCTTTTTATGCGTCAATTTTCCCCCTTGCAAAACTTATGCTTCTTTTGAAATACGTTATGCACAAGGTCTTAAAGGGATTTTGCCTAATGGGCGATTGAATTATTCCGCCTTAATGTCATGCGTCTGTTGGGCAAGAATGCCAGACGGCATGTTGTAGCCATCCTGCATTTGGCTTTCGCTCCTGTATCCTCAATTGTTGTTTCACTTGAATATCTAACTAATGTGGTATTTTCCGGATTGAAAGTGCCAAGTCACTATTGTACCCAGTTTATTGGTTTGCAATCGACGGTTGTATGTTTAAGA